CATGAAAAATTCACATTTCAAGAATTCAAGATGAAAAATTCACATTTCAAAAAATTGAACATGAAAAATTCACATTTCAAAAAATTGAACATAAAAAAATTCACGTTTCAAAAATAGAAGACGAAAAATTCAGGTTTCAAAAATTGAAGACAAAAAATTCACATTTCAAGAATTCAAGACGAAAAATTCACATTTTAAGAATTCAAGATGAAAAATTCACATTTTAAAAATTAAAAACGAAAAATTCACATTTCAAGAATTGAACATGAAAAATTCACATTTCAAGAATTCGAGAGGAAAAGTTCACATTTTAAGAATGAAGACAAAAATTCCATTTCAAGAGTTACACAAGAAAAATTTACATCTTTAAACATTTTGAATTCCAAAACTATCCAATCCAATTCACAACTTCTGTTTGTCGGCCTCTTTTCCATCGAAATAGAAAAGATCACAGGACTCACCTCGTGAAGGTCAACAGAACGAGTCCCTCCAAATAAAAGACTAAAATGAGTCGTTTTCTTTTCTGGTCGCTCCTTCTTAAATCGATCAACTGTCGTTAAACAACTAGTTGCATCAAACAGAGTAGCCAAGTTTTATAAACTATGGCAAAAGCTGTTATCGGAACACATTCACCGGGTTACATTAAATGCCGTGATGCATCTTTCATTAAGGGTGTTGCAGACCTTGCCAGAAGCGCTACCATTTAGTCTACTCAACAAGAGGTCAACGAATTTCATCGCCACTGGCACTTTCCGTCCCCAACAAACTGATTCTCAAGCTGTAATTCCGAACGGCATGGCTATCAATCATGAATGTTGGGCTCTCGTTAAGGCTTTATTGGGCTTTTACTCTTGTTATGACAACTCGTTGGTTTGGATATTATTTGTTGTGAATGGATTGGACTAGGTCCAATTCTTCAGTAAAATAATAAGAGTAGTAAAAGCTGAAAAAAAATGATTAATAAATGGTTTAAGACAGACGGACATGAACAGACAGATTGACAGAAATTACTTTTTTGATGGACAGTCCCACCCTCATCCCCCTCTAAAGACTTTTCCAATAAGTTATAGTAAACCTGTTTATAGAGGATTAATGCCTCGTTCGCAAAAAAAAGCTTAAAAAACGAACGCGCACATTTAAATTAATTCGTCCATCTTTTTAAACAAATAAACCCTTACCCTACCTCAAGAACCTTACCCTTCCCCCATCCCCCTACCCCGCATACTATAATCCCTTCCCTTGGCGTCACTGGGGCGCCACTCCCAGATAGATTTGTTGAGGCTCTTCTCGCCGTTCCCACCCACCCTTTACCCCCTACTTCAAGAACCCCTACCCCACTTAGTTTGAACCCTCACACCCAACACCCTGCATCAAAAACCTTCCCCGCTACTTTAATCCCTCACACCCTTCACCCTTCATGAAAAACCTACCCCGCTTACTTTAATCCCTGACACCTTAAACCCCCTCCCATCCCTGCGAATTTAATTTCTTACCCCCTACCTTAAGAACCCCCCCACCCCGCTAATTTAATCCCTTCCCTTGGCGTCACTGGGGCGCCACTCCCAGATAGATTTGTTGAGGCTCTTCTCGCCGTTCCCACCCACCCTTTACCTCCTACTTCAAGAACCCCTACCCCACTTAGTTTGAACCCTCACACCCAACACCCTGCATCAAAAACCTTCCCCGCTACTTTAATCCCTCACACCCATCACCCTCCATGAAAAACCTACCCCGCTTACTTTAATCCCTGACACCTTACACCCCCTTCCATCCCTGCGAATTTAATTTCTTACCCCCTACCTTAAGAGCCCCCCCACCCCGCTAATTTAATACCTTCCCTTGGCGTCACTGGGGCGCCACTCCCAGATAGATTTGTTGAGGCTCTTCTCGCCGTTCCCACCCACCCTTTACCCCCTACTTTAAGAACCCCTACCCCACTTAATTTGAACCCTCACACCCAACACCCTGCATCAAAAACCTTCCCGCTACTTTAATCCCTCACACCCTTCACCCTCCATGAAAAACCTACCCCGCTTACTTTAATCCCTGACACCTTACACCCCCTTCCATCCCTGCGAATTTAATTTCTTACCCCCTACCTTAAGAACCCCCCCACCCCGCTAATTTAATACCTTCCCTTGGCGTCACTGGGGCGCCACTCCCAGATAGATTTGTTGAGGCTCTTCTCGCCGTTCCCACCCACCTTTTACCCTACACCCCCTCCCATCCCTGCGAATTTAATCCCTTACCCCCCTACCTTTTCACTCAACTTTTAAAGGAAACCCTTCCGCTTCGTCGTCCTCAGGAACTCCGCAACAGAACATTCGTTTGAACGTTCTCCATAACCCCTTCTTCTTTTTGGGGTTCTCGTTGACTTCGGCTTGCATGCTCTTGGTTTCTTCAGCAAATGTTGATGTTTCAGATGACTCCGGATACGAATAGATTGATGTAATCGTTGCAGCATCATCGTCCTGAAATAAAAAATTCATTTTATTAAAATAAAGTGCCAAGAATCTAAATTCAAAATTCCAGTTATTTGGATATTCTGATTCCTTATAACACTACATTCATCTGATAAGTGTAAACTTACCAAGTAATGTAAATGTGATGCCACAAATCTATTCATTTCCGATGCCAGCGACTGATGATGGAACATGAAAATGCTGACTTCTCTCTGTAGGTAGATGTTATTGTAATTTTCATGATACAACACGAAAAAATCCTCCAACTCCAATAACATCTCCAAACCAGCATCCTCGAACCACTCCACAAGAAACCAGAAAAAAGCAAACAACTCATCTTGCTTGGCCAAAAAGTTTCTCATGTCTCGCAACACAAGAAACTTAATGAACACAAGATGAAGTTCAGGATGCTGTTTTATGAAATTTCTTCTTGAAAGTCGCAATCGTCCACTATCAACATTATGCATGCGCAAGAATCCTCTTATTCCTCTTTTTATTGATGAATCTTCTTTCGATGCTTGCTTCATGAGATCATGAGGCAAGTTTCCCAAAGAAGGCTTCTCAAACATAAACTGAAATTAAAAATTAAAATCATTTTAGAGTTTTTCTTAAATTAAAAATATCTAATATATAAAAGCCCAATTCACTGATTCACTGACTCTGGAACGGAAGCCATGTGAAGACGTTTGTGAAGCCGTGTGAAGACAAAAATTTAAGGAGTGTTCACAAGGTGCTTGTAAGGTGAGTGTGGGGTGGGTGTCAAGTGGGGGGGGGGGGGGGGGGGGGGGGGGTGTCAGGTGGGGATTGGGGGCAAGGGGGTGTCAGGATGAGATTGGGAGCAAGGGGGGTGTCAGGTATATTTTGCGAAGCCAATGATTCGAGGGGTGCTGACAAGGTGGGTGTCAGTTGTGGGGGGTGACAAAGTGGGTGTCAGGTGGGGATGGAGGCAAGGGGGGTGTCAGTTGGGGGGGGGGGGTCCGAATTTGAGGGGGTTTGTGGGAAAAGTTTGCTGTCAGGAATATTTTGTGAAGCCATATAAAATTTTGTGAAGCCATGTGAAGTTTTGTGAAGCCATGAAAAGACATGGTGAGTTTCGGGGGAATTAAAGTTTTAGTGGGATTAAGGGGGTCCGAGTTTGAGGGGGTTTGTGAATACATTTATAAAATTTTTGTGGGATTGAGTCCGAGTTTGAGGAGGTTTGTGAGGCCATGTGAAGTTTTGTGGTAGGATTGACCTTAAAAACATTATGGTTATTTGCGTCTTACAGTTATTTACATAATAGTAATCAAATTTTAACCCTGATAAGAGGTGCCACAGGTGCCTCCGGACAGCCTAGTTATTATATAATTACTCACCTTTAAGAGGTTCCTTTTCTCGCCAATAGCTCTTTCGATCTGCAACAATTCCTCCGACATGGATTGAAAGGTCCTGTACAAAGGAATCATTGTCGGCATGCTGAATGATCGAAGGAGACGTGGATTTTCGGTTCCAGCATTTATCATTGGCATGCTGCACGTTCTCAGGAGCTCGGGAACCGGTTGCTAAAATAAATAAATGGAAAAAAAATTTTTAAAATTTATTCACAATTTAAAATGAATCATCGAAGGATGATGAATATCAACTGCTTGCTTGCATGATTAGTATTATTTCCATGCAAGAAGCATCATGTCTAGTTGGCACTTCCAACTGGGTGGAAGTGACAAACAAATTTTACTTCATTTCTTGACTTTTCAAACGATTTTAAAGATGAGTCCAGTTCTGAGGAACTAAGCAGTTCCGTAGGTTCCAATGCAGCCAGTACGCATCGTATGACTACTTAGAACCGAAAAATTTCATTGGATAATGAAAGAAGTGCTTAGTTCCTTAAATCTGGACCCCTCTCAAAAATCGTTAAAAAAGTCAAGAAATGTTGAAAAAACATTTTTGTCAGTTTCATCCAGTTGGAAGTACCAACTTGACATGATGCTTCTTGAATGAAAATCATACAAACCATGCAGCAATTAAACTGAGTCCTTTTGTTTTTGAATCATCGAAATCCTATCCTTACTTCTATCTCCACATTGGCTATTTCGTTGTTGCTTGCTTTATTCTCAAGCTGATGATTTTCATCCTCTAAAAGCTGAATGAACCGCTGAACAGTTTTGCGAAAATTTGACGTTGACATGTTGAACTAATCTTCACTTCTAATGTTTACACAATACTGAAGAAATTTCAGAATTGGTCAAATTTCAATGGTTGCTGGGATAATTATTCTTTTGTATACTGAATTATTATCATTTTGTATGAAAATTAAAATGATATTTTGTGACATCAAAACTATCGGGAAATCGCTGAATCTGGTGCAGGAACATATCCAGTGTTACAAAATAAGTGATCGGTTCCGTTGAGTTTGAAACAAAGATAAAAAAATGTTTATCAAATAATAATTTCCTTCAAATTTAAGTTATTATTGAGCAATAAGTGATAGTGAAAATGTGGAAGAAGGCACGTTCACTACGTCTATTTCCTAAATGACTGTTTTATACTCTCATGGATTTCACTATTAATTCTTCAAAGAAAAAACTTTATTTAAATAAATTTGATGTCTAAAATGCAATTTAGAAAATCAATTAAGTACAAAATGGTCAAAAAATACAAAAAGTTTTAGCTGAAAAGTTTCATTAAAAATGTTTGATAAAAAACAACAAACTAATTTATAGGCACATATTTAGGCATTCACTCGTTTTCTTCTTCTAAGTCTTCATTTTGAGGCTGTTGAAAGACATCTGGCATCATATCATTCGCATCATCTTTCTTTTCTTGAATTAATTTCATATCTTCTGCTGTCTTTAGGCATAATTTGGCTTCTTCAATTGCCTTTGATCTTTTCTCGTCGTTAAGCTGAGTGACACCCATTAAAAGCTGCAAAACATCAGTATCGAATATTTTCTCAGCAACTGTTTTACTCTGTCGAATCATGTTGTGAATTATGACAATTCCTCTAAACTGTACATCAGGGCTTGGATTCGCTATTAACGTATGCAAAATTTCAAGCCATGACGATGGAGTTATCATTTTCTCACAACATTTTGCACTATTAGATGTCAGAATTGCTAATGCACCACTACATGCTAAAGCTGTTTCTTCATCTTCCTCCTCGCACAACAGTGCTAAGAATTTTACGCGATCATTGTCTCCTTCATGCCATTTTATATAATCCTCATTCAAAACCATGTTGCAAATTACTTGTGTGGCAGCTCTAGTCAACAAAATGTGATCTTCCATTAAGAACATTTCAATACGTGACATTCCTTTCTCTTTCATTATGCGATTGCGAACTGAATCATTCATTTGAGCTAAATTACAAAGTGCCAAAAGTGCTTCAAAATTCTCGAGTGCACTATAGTCTGGATGAAGTTGATTAAGTAATGGTCTAACAACTTCTAATGATCGTTGTCCAGGAAATGCTTGTTCGGGATTGATAGTGATACCTAAACGTGACAAAGCCTGACCAGCATTTCGTTTGCCCTTTTCAGTACCTAAAGTAATTGAAAAAAAAAACAGAATTTAAAATAAATCAATAAAAATGCAGTAATAAAGTTTGAAATTCTTACCTTTTAATGCAAGCTGAATTAAGACACGAGCACCACCTTGTTGAACAATCTTTCCCCTAACACTAGTTTCGGAGCAAATTGCATTAAAAACTCTCGCAATCATTTCTTTGGCATTGTCACTCTCAGTTTTTGATAGAGCAACTAAGGCGACAGTAATACCTTCTTCTGCCAATGTATTAATACGTTTGGCTACAAAATCTGGATCATCGAGTTCTGATTCTTCTGGAACATGATGTTTTGCGAATTTAGCAAGTTCCATAAGTTCAGGAAGCATTTCCTGCTTTTCATAAGCATTGACAAGATTAACAAGTGTAGTAACAACACCATAAATGACAGATTGATCTCCAGTTTTAGCTAGTTCAATGAGTGCTTGAATAGCCAATTTATCATCAATTAATTTCTCTTTAACATCAGCATCAAGTGTAAGGAATGACAATCCTTCAGCTGCAAATTTACGAATATCCTTATCTTTACCAGGTTTAATGAGAAAACGACGACATGCTTCAGCTAGTTTAACAGTTGATCCTTCAGCAAATGGACGAATAGATGCATCAAGGCCACCAGAGCTACCTAATTTACATAATCCAACTAGTGCTCTTACTCGAATTCCTTCATCTTTTGAATGATATAATTTCTTTAAAATTTCCACCCCACTTGCTATTAATGCTTTAGCCTTATCCTTCTTTGATGCTGCAGCAATAAGACATTCAGAAGCTACTTTTTGATGTAACAATTCATCATCACTTGCCATTGCTAAAATCATTTGCATGATTCCATCACGTGCGAAAATTGTATTACCAACATCTAATGGACCAAGAAGAAGTGATGTTAAAGCGACTACAACACGAACTTTTGATTCAAATTCTGGATTTAAAAGCTTATCCCTTATATATTCATCAATGTGAGCAATGAATCGTTGTCGAGCTTCATCATAGTACATGTTTTCATAAATTCTTGCTAAACAAACGGAAGCGATGGTTCTAGACGATGGTGTTATTGGCATTGCACTCTCATATTTATATTCCTCTAATTCACTACAAATTTCCATCAAACGATAAAGACCCTTTTGCTCGATAAGACGTTCAGCCCAATTAAGTGTTTGATAATGAGCATTTCTGATCAATAATTCTACAACAGCATCACGAGCTTCGCCAGTAATTGTACGATCTGTTGTTGCATAAACCAAGCATGTAAGAATTGTATCAATTTCATTCTTATTATCTTCAACTAATTGTTGATCTGGCTTTGAATCCTCTTTATTAGTTAAGCCAGAGAATGAATTAAGAATGACTTGTAAGCAATGCTGAGCTGACATTACACGATCAGGATTTTTACTATCAAGAATTTGTAGGAACCAAGGGATACCAAGTTCATTAATGATCTTCTTTGTGTAATGTAATGACTTGATACAGATATCATCAATTACACGTATAGCATTAACAAGTATTTCATCATTTTTTTCGACTTTGAATAATTTACCGACACGAGTAGCTATATTCTCACGGAACATTACATCGGCTCCTGCCTTTTCTCTAGCTAACACTACAAGATTACTCATTGCAGTCTCTCTTTTGCTTCTCTCGGCACCAATATCAAATGCTAATTCCATCATTTTTGATACCTTTGTGGATGTTTGAGCATTTATAGCTACACGATCTTGAACAACTTTATGAAGTCTTTCGAGATAAGGCTGAATTGGTTTAAAGTTTGGATCATTATTCCAAATTGTTCGAGCATCTCTATATGCTTCCTCAAATCTTTCTAAAGCTTCCAGTGACTGAACTCGACGGAAAAGTGCTTTCTGATCATTTGGTTGATATTCAAGGGATTTAGTACAATCACTTTCTGCTCGTTCAAATGATTCAGTTTTCAAGTAAGCAGCAGCGCGATTCTTGTAAAAAATTGGCAGTTCCTTGTTCTTTTCTTTTTCACCCAATTTTATTGCTTTTGTGTAGAAATTTATTGCATTTTCCCATTCTGAACTTTTAAAGGCTTCATTTCCTTTCTCCTTCATTGTATTTGCATCTTCAGTTATCTCGACCATGTTTGTCTTTAATAAAATACTAATTTTATTACTGTTATTTCAATATTTCACAATAACTTACCAATTTTTGTTTAATTTTCTGCTTTTATAGTAAATTTTCACTGCTACTGAAAACACGAGAAATCTCTAGAACATGCTTTTTAATCTAATTTTAGAAAAACGAGAAAATTCACTTTTCTCTCAAATTTTCTTCCTAAGCCGATATAAACAAACTGATCTTCAGAGTTGGAACTTAATTTGCTATGCTGTGTTCCATTTGAAGCTTTTAGCGAAGAAGAGCTTTTAACAGTTCTTTGAATAAAGAAAAAAGCTTAAATCAAGCTTATGTTGCGATTATGATTTATGTTACGATCTATGCTGCATGGTAGACATTCAGACAAATAAAAAGTTTTACCACCTTTATTTCTTAAAAAAAGCTAATGATGACAAACCCCGCTCATTTCTTTTTATATCTTTAACTGAAATATGCATTTAAGAGACACGACATCGGACGAAATAAATTAATAAATATCAAGTTACATAATGCTTTTTGTCATAAATCAGAACAACAGCTTCAAATGACGATTATAAGCAATCTCAAAATAACGGAATTTTAAAATTTGAATTAAAAAAAACGCTTTTCAAATTATTTTGATGCCACATGACACGTGTTTAACGGAAATGTCTGAATCAGTTCTTTTACCTGTTCGAGCTGAAACTTAATAGTTATTATGGTTATTATCAATAAATTACAATTAAAAGACAGTCAGTTTTATTAAAAATATTTTATTGATTGAATGTTAAATTTCGATTAATTTATGAAAGCAAAATCTGATGATTAAGTTAATTTAGCCAAATGTGTAACTCGCATTCCATTGACTAGTTCAACTGATAATAACGCCAACGGTGATGGAGTTACCAAATAACCAAAAACAATTTCTTTACACTGCACTGCTCGATTCTGCAATTAATTGTGTCTGGAAGACCTTTAAACAAAAAATTCATGGTCAAGAAATTATTAAATTATTTTTAAATTACAAGACTTTTTTTATGTAAAGGAACGACGTTACACATACACATATGTTGCTGTTAAATGCAGCAAATTATAGATAAAGCGATGAACGGATTTCATTATGCATTTTTTTTGCATTCACATACAAAAGCAGACGAACTTGAAAATCCGATCTTGAGACATAACATAACCGTCTGAGTGTGTTTAATAGTGTATAATAAGACAGGCGCGTAAGGTAGAGAAAGAGTGGAGAAGAAGGAAAAATAAGAATAAGAAGAAGTAAAACTCGATCGAGAAAAAGACAGCCTTTCGTTCGATAACCTTAAGACGTTGTAAATTGCATAAAATATGAAATGCAGTCGAGAGAAGGAACTAATAGCTTAGTATCGGTTTTAGAGATGCAAAAAAAATAACCAGCATTGTGAAAAAGAAGTAAAACAATAACGGCGGCAACAAGAACGAAGAAAAAAAATATGAAATAAGAATCTGCACAATTCTTCATTATTTCTCTCCGTTCTTTCTCATATTCTAGACTGCATCCCCATTAAATCATTAAGGCATTTATGAAGGACTAACTAGTTTAATTGATTCCTTTAGCTTAATGGTTTTTGCCTCTACCATCAATGATACTTTCATTAAATAAATGATCAGCTAAATCCTGCAAATGAATAAGTACAGTGACATTGATACGGTTAATGATATCTAGAAAGGAAGTCCATCAATGCTTGAGCTTAGAATCTGGGGGAAGGTTGTAAAGAGGCTTTAAAAATAGATTTTCTTTAAATTCCATTGCTTTTTCTCTAAAAACTGAAGAACTTGAAACTTCTAAGACAAATAATTTTCAAGAATTAAATTACAATTTTGCCTAAAATAAGCTTTTGCTTTAATAATTAAAGAAAGTTTGCAGTCAGAAATGATATTCTACCGACTAGTTTCGATTCAAAATCAAACTCTTTACTTATTTAATTCAATTTAGCAACAAAAGCATTCAGCTATTCAGATTCTTAGCAATAGTTCATCCAACCTAGAGTTTTGCCTTACTGTATTTCCAATTTTCAGCAGTAGAAGAATTGCTTTGCATTGAATACTAAACTTTAATGACACTCTGGAATAGCTACAGAAGGATCTCTTAGAGAATCTACCATGCTTCATTTTTTATGAGTATTTTCATGTTCCGATTTTAAAGGAGCTCATCTTACTCAAGAAGTTTAGAACAATTTGAACTCATTAATGACTACTGGAAAGCATTCAACATTCGTTCGAAAAACAATGTCAAAACTGTCTAGCAAGAATAAATTGCAGAAGCGTCGTTTGCCTCAATATTCACATACTTTTAAGCTATATTTGCAGTGCCAAAAAAAAACAAGTAAGCACAATTGTTATGAAATGTCAAACGCATGCAGCATCAATTAAACGAGTAAAATGAGGAAAAAATCCCTTAAAATTAAGTTTGATGATGTATCATTAACATTTTATCGTTCTTCTATAAGTAATATGTAAATAGATAGTAGAAGTGAATAACTCGTGAGGCCAATATAACAATGCATGGTAAGTGCGAGAGAAAACTTGATTTTAAAATTATTTAAATAAAGCCTATGTTCTGTAGCATTTAACAAAGAAAATACACAAAAAAAATTCCTTTTTTCGGGATGATTCCTTTTGTACTTTATTCCGATGATTTTATTTTTTTTTTTGTTTCTTTTCTTTCCTTTTCATGCATTTCATCTCGCAACTCGACGGCATAAAATAAATATTGAAGATCCTTGAACTTGGAACTATTTACATTTAATGTGTGATTTTTTGTCGTGGGTTTTTGTCTGTTTTGTGTTGCATGAATATCTTTATTGAGCTGGTTTTTTTCCTGCATTTATAAAAAAATAAGTTGGAAGGATCAGGATTTTTAACCGAAATTTGACGCATGACATTTTCATTTTTTATCTCTTCTGTTCTTAGCATGATTTTAAAATATGCTATGCATTCCTTCTTTTTGCACTTTGCGCTATGCGAGCACATTTTTGAATATGTTTGAAAATAGTGTGGTATTATGAAGGAAGGAAGTAGCAACTTGCGCTACTTTGAAGACTCTCATCAATGCACGCATAGCCTAAGATGCAAGAAAAACTTCTGGATTTCACTTCTGGATCGCACTTTGACTTTACTTATTGCCTGAACAGATCAAAGATTTCTTTAGCCATTACTGAACATGACATCAAGACCTATTCTCCTTGATTATTCTCATACTTGATTATTTTTTAAAAAATATAGAAAGTAAGGAAATTTAAAAAATAAAAATTTATAAAGGTGATATCTCAATTTGATCAGCAGTTGGTCAAGAATACCTAATAAAAAAATTATTATTTAAATTCGATTTGAAAGCAACAAGATGAGAAGAAAGGAAGAAAAACCAGAAAGCCAATCATATAATAAAATAAGAAATCTTTAAATGATGTTGATAAAATAAGAAGCAATAAAAGGATAACGAGTTCTTAAAGTTTTTTTTTGCTGCTCTTCAATTCAATTTAGAAATTCGAATAATAATGTTTAGGAAAAAAAAAACTCCTTTCAATTGTGAATGTGGCAAGGTCCACTCTTTTTTTAAAGTTATTGTATGATATTATATGGAAATATAAGAGAGGTAAATCTCGGGATAAAAAAAATATTTATAAAGGATAAATAAGAATCTAGCTCTGTCCAGTGGGAAAGAATCTGAGTTAAATGGACAATATTTAAGCAAACAAAACAATTAGCTGTGAAAGAACAGGTAAAATTCAAATTTTTCTTCTCTTTCGTCAGCAATAAAGACGAGAATTTAGGTTCATTGTCGTATCATATGATTTTTTTTTTTCATATCCACTCGAGAATTTTAAAATATCTAAATGCTGTGAATTTGTCGTCTGTTTTTTTTGGACTGAATGGCTTCACAAGAATTTCGTGAAAGGATCAATTTTCAAACTTTAAGCATTTTATATCCAATTGCAATTGTTTGGCAACTTTAAGAATTTAAACATACTTCGAATTAGTCATAACAAAAATAATCGCTTTAATTTTGGCTTCCTAGGCATCATATTGCAGTCTTTGATCAAGAAAATGAAATATTCTAATGGATGATCTGTGTTCGTTATGCTTATTAAACTATTTGAAGCTAAATTTCATTAATAAAATATTATTGAACTTAATCTTACTCAAGGGTTTATTCATTTTGATTCGATTCTTAAGTTTTATTAAACCATCCACAATCCTTCTTTAGTTTTTGAAATATCAAATCAATTCAACAAAATTTTAGACCATTCCAATCAAGTTCTTCCTGAAGATCAATGACGCTACAAATTCTTAACTCAATTTTTGATAACGACTAGTCACAAGTCAATGCAAAAAATCAAATAATATAAAATTAAGTCAGTTCAAACTTACTTAGTAACATAAAGTTTTCTGCAGCCAAACGACACGCGAATTGCAACAGTGACTAAGTTTGCGTTGTACATTAATTCTTGATAAAAAGTAAAAACCAATTTCATAATCAAGAACATTTTTTAACATTTTCTGCAAATTTGTAAGACCCAGATGCATGCTAAATGCTTTTTTTCTAGTTCTTATTATACGTTGACTTAATTACTTTGGGGACGCTCACAAAATAATGTACAATTTACTCGAGAAGTCAGATTGAGTGTCATAAGAATCCAATTTCTCGATGGACGTCATTTGTGAGAGACCTGATTAAAGGAAAGAAGTATGAAAACGTATCACATTTTCTCTGTTCGAGACAAAACATGACCTTGACTTCTGCAGTTTAAAAAGAAAGAAAAATTACAGAATTGACGCAAAGAATATTTGCATGTGTGAAAGTTTATGTTATAAGTCGAGGAGCGTCTCCGAAAGCCCTGAAACGGTAGTCTTTGCGAACATATAAAAAAGAGCAAAAAAGAAGAAATTAAGGAGCAAGAAGAAGCGATTGTCAACCAAAATTAATAAAATCATCGTAGAACTTTAAAAAAAAAATTCATGACAAAAGAATAAACGTATTATGGCAATAAAGAAATGAAAGGAAACTGCATCGAGCAAGCGGAGACAATTCAACAAGTGTGTTGAGGCTACGAAAAAAATAAAATGCATGCAATTGAAGGCAAGAAAGAGAGAACGAAGAAGAAAATTACAGCACACAGAATAATTTTGACTTCTTCTTATACAGCCGTGGGGCACTTTTTCCATT